AAACTAATCACTCTCCTTACATTCCTGTACCTCTTGTGAAAATCTTTATGATTAATCATGGTGTATACTGATCATACCGTCATTTCGTATACCTCTTTGCTAAAATGATCCTGATTAAGGAACAATAGAATACAGACAATTATCTTTGTAATCTCTGTCCTAACAGTGCTCATGTATAGAGAATGGACAGAAAATGAAAGAACAGGGGTGCCTGGCTGGCTCAGTCACAGGAGCATGCAACTCTTGATCTCAATTGTGGGTTTGAGCCCCAAGTGGGATGTAGAGTTATTTAAAAATAAAATCTTAAAAAAAAAAAAAAAAAAAGAGGGGGCACCTGGGTAGCTCAGCTGATTAAGCATCTGCCTTCAGTTCAGGTCATGATCTTGGGATCTTGGGATCAGGCCCCACATTCAGCCCCACGTCCGAGTGCTCCCTCTCCCTCTGGCCTTCCCCTGCTCCTATGTGGACACTCTGTCAAATAAGTGAACAAAATTTTTTAAAAAGAGAAAAAGAATGAAGGAACCAATGAATAATAAATGGAAAGAAAAGAGGACAGATGTAGAGAAAACAGAAAAGTGGGCTCAGGAACTAAGAAATTACCTTGCAATGTCATACACGGTGAGTTCAGAGGCCCTAAAGCAATGTTATGCACCTGCATAATCCTAAACTCCCCAGTTAACAACATATAGATATAAAGCTTTTTCTGTTTTGCTTTGTTTTAGAGAGGGATGGAGACATGGGTGGGGCAGAGGGAGAGGGAAAAAGAGAATCTTCAACAGATTCCATGCCCAGCGTGGAGCCCCTTGTGGTGCTTGATCTCACAAGCCTGAGATCATGACCTGAGCTGAAATGAAGAGTCCAACACTTAAGACTGAGCCATCCAGGCGCCCCAGGTAGTAAAGTTTTAAACCAGGAAGATGGAAGTGGCGATCTCTGTACCCCTTAAATTTGGTGTTTAAATCTTTTCTTACAATAAGCTGGAAGGGCTACAGCAGGAAAGTTGCTAAAGAGTCGCCTGATACACTCTGTTCTCCAGAGCAGCTCTGCCAGGGGCCAAATTTGGCACTGTGGCAGTGTCCAGAAGGAGATTTTGGTGCAGTAGGCTATCAGCTGCTTACCTGGCTAGGTCCCACACACGTCAACTCAAACTCATTCTTGTAAATTATTCTCCGGAGGCAGCAAACTGTTCCACTCCACCACAGAGTGTGCCCTAGAAGGGAAAGCGACAACATAAAAGGTAACAGGCATCGGAAGGATATCTAGAGACACCCTTGAAACCCAAGTTCTAGAATCTACGGAAGAGTTGGCAGTCAAAGGGCTGGCAGTTTTGGGAAGTACCAGATGGAAAGAGGTGGCACTCACAAGACTCAAGGATAGTGATGGGATGAAAGGGAGAAATCAGCCCTGCCTACAGAATTCTTTGTCTCTTTTGGCTTCCCATCAAGTGCAAATTTCTCTTTCCTGCCTTTAGTGTCATATTCTTAGGTTGGAGTCAAAAGGGAAGAGGAGATTCTCTAGTTTCAGGGAGAGTGCTTTAGGCTAAGGCCGGATTTTTCCTAGTTTGGAGAAAGTCACCCAGGCGGAAAGGGAGTACTAGTAAAACACACCGCACAGAGTCGTGAGCCATCCCATTTCCAGGCCAAGGCAGTGATGGTATATAAGTTGGCAATCTCCTTGGGCTTTGCCCCTTCCCAGATGCTTCTTCGAGGGCTCCAGTGGAGTACCCGAAGTCTGAAATTAAGGAGGTGGATTTCAGAAGAGATGGAGACTGAGCAAAAGGGTGGAAATGGGTGGGTAATTGAAGGCAATGAGTCTCGCTGTATTAGAGAAGAAAGGAAGTGAAAGAGAACACACATGCTAGGGAATCTCATAGGAGAGGTCAAAAAGGTTCAAAGGAAGGAAGTTGGGAAAATCAAGCCAAAAGTAAAACGGGGTGAGAGCGATAGGAGTGGAGAAAACAAAAGGAGATCACGGCTGGTGAGAAAAATGAGCTGTTAGCAAGGGAAAAATAAGGAAAAAGAAACAGAGAAAAAGGAAGGAAGAGACCCACATGACAT